TKTYYCMCWMWAGGAAGTTAARMCTGACAGACGAATGATTTTTCGACAATTAGTTTCGCTGTTAATTGACTTTAATAGAATCGATACGGAGAAGTCACTTACCTCTCCAGGCAGTCTCCAGGCATGAATCAGAATTCATGACKAGTCATATAACTCAAAAAGAGCGATYACTTCGTTGGTTTCGACCCTCCAAAATTCCACSTAATCATTTAATGGATAAATTGCAGGRTTTRAAAWTTTTTTCATCTTACTTTTTCTCACCCACTTATCCCTGGATAGTTTCCATGGCGCCGTAATGGGRAAATTAAATGCCTAACAAGGTGCAAAGTCAAACGAATAACAAAAACAAATTAAACGTTCAGACGGCGGTGTAATTGATCCCTTTATCTTTTCTCTTCCTGTTTCTGTTTCATCTTCATCTATACATTACAATGCTGAAAGAACTCTAGACGAAATATATTTGAAACACAATTGTTGCACCACCTTCATGGCTAACGTATGACTTTATCGACTAAAAGAAGCCTTGCAAGTCGTACTAATTTGTATGACTTCCAAAACCGCAAAATGATAATATTCCATCTGCAGAAAATAWAACGACCACATCGGGAGCGAAGATAATGTAAAGTTAGATTTTAGAAAATATCTCTTTGGAATATAGCCAAATATAAACCAATGAACGAATGTCTTTCGTTATTAACATATAAAGGAGYCCATTTCATTAGCTATTGGTGAATGGCTAACCATTGGTTGGTACGAAATATTAAACTGAAAGTGAATTCAGAAAGGATAAAGTTTCTATTTTAGTTTGTATACAGTAGATTAAGGGAAGATTTCTCCGATTACCACGAAACCGTGAGATAATTCCTTTTGATGTCAGATATTCTTGTCAAGACTTCAACGCGTTTATGTAAACAACRTTGTTTACTTTTCTTTGATCATGTGCAGTAATTTAGTCCTCAGTCGAGAAATTCCTACATTTCCACCGTGTGATAGAGTTTGAGAAATTCAAGTTGTCAAGTTTGGCGCGAGAAGGTAGCCGAAACGTTGCTTCACTATGTCTGAAAATGGAGACATTGGAAACGCTCCTTGGTCGCTTCGTGTTTCTCTCTTCTCGAAACCGAGAGCTCACTCAGATACTTCGATTTTTAGTAATAAATGCATCCCGACTTCAAAATCATCTCCTGAAATTGCAAGAAAATCATCCGTCGAGAGTCCAACCCAGCTTCCAGCTTTGCAAATTGAAGCATCGTGTTCGACAAGTGTTATTGAAGAATCTGTTTCAGCTACCTCYACTTTACCATCAGCGAAGACTGAAAGATCACAAACAATACGTCCAAAGTCGTCCACTAGTGACAAAGCGTTGGATTTTCTTGTTAGATTTGCGAAGCCGGAGAGAGGTTTGAGTGAYAAAATGTCTCCAAGGAACCCACGGAAGCAGAAGCGCAAATCGAGAAATGAGGATATGGTAACAAGAATCTTATRATTACAATTATTGTTATTATAATCATTGTTATTATTGATTGTATGTTGTTTTGCGCAAATGTCACCAGAGGTTTGAATATATACTTTATGCATTTTTCGGGTAGTTTTTGTTTATGATTGTACCCGGTTATTTCGGTTGATCATGAGAGGTGAGCTTATGTATAAATAATGACGCTTTAACATAGAGTATCAAAACACTTCCTAATCAATTAAAATAGGACAATGTATCAAATAGCTAATATTTGTTCCKAGACACTTGCCAGTTGTTTACTGCATATAACAGATCTAACAGACGATTTTCAATATCTGATAGATGAAGTGGTTACTGAAACTTATAGYGCTGAATGGCATTAGTTTACAGCAATCGAAAGTGAACTTTTATTGTCTGCCGTAATAAGAATGTCAATAAAAACAATGTACCAAATGAATATGAATCTACCTCTGCCAGCTAATATAATTGTTGCATWTTTCACAGTTCCCTGTTGTCATTCTCAATTTTATTTTCCTTGCACTCGTTTTCCCATTTTTTCTATTTTTTCACGAACCTGTCCAGCTGTCTGCTTATCAATCGATGTGTGCCGTGAACTATATTGTTGTCATGTTGYATACTTATTGAATTGCTAGTGTATTCATTACTGGGCTACACACTGGAATATAGGATCTTTTATACATGCATAGTGACTGATAAATCTTCATCATTGTAATCTAGAGTCGTCTTACGAAAATAGTTCCACCCAAACCACTAGAGAAGTTTTCATGGCGCTTAATCTTCGAGGAGTGGGGGAGGAGACGATATTAGGCAAACTTATAAACCGCGCACGAACTTTCGAACAGCGAGCGCAAGATGTATGTTCTTTTCTCAGCCATTTTATGTAATTGCATTTTTTAATTGTATTTGTTTGTTTGCTTGTTTTGCTCACTTATCAGTTATTTGTTTGTTTGTTTGTTGTTGTTGTTGTTGATTTGATAGCATGTTTACGATTTGTTGTGTGTTTTGTGGACTTTGTCTGTCTTATTTCCTTGTTGTTTTTGTCTGTTTTTTTTTTTGTTTTTTTTTTTGGACGAGTGTGCGTGTCTTCYATTACATTTGCATAGTTTTAAAGCCATTCGATTAAAAGAATACTTTACAAAAGTGYAAAGATTTAATCCATTTAATCCGGGATTAGTTTTTATCGTTTTTTGATCAGTTTTTTGTACTACTCACAACAAACTCCTAATTTGTTTCCTTCCATTTCCAGGTGATGATCGTTGATGGAGCCAATGAAACGAAGTTTGATCCCAAAAAATTCAAGGTAATCCAGCAAATCCTCAATTAAAATACGCGATTTTTGCAACTTTGATTCACAACAACTTTGCGTGACGTGATTATGTAGTTGTATACCAAGCATGCTTTCTCTGATAAAAGAACAACAGCGATACTTGATCTATAAGGCTTGCATGTTGATTTTCTGACACGTGGGTCACTTGAGCCACGTGGTCAGACCGGTTCTTGTGATAAACATTTTCTAAAATTACCTGAAGAACAAATCTAGATAAATTGCTCGTCTGAAATTGAAATTTTCAGTTTTCCGGCGTCAGATGTTTATCGAGCTTCAGTTTTTTGACCGCAAGCTGGTTACGTGGCTCATCCAGAGCTTCAAATAATTCAAAAATTTGAATTACCCCGATTTAGAGTTTTAAAATTTAATGAATGAATTTGTATTTGAAATAGTCGTTTTGAAAGCAAGTCTGCTGCTAAAAATGACTGAATTCCAGAGACAAAAGAAAGTTTCCCTGCTCGCAGAAGTACATAACGGTTATRTACTTTTGCTGCTATTTATTTGTTGAAAGAGGTTAAATTGATWTTTTTTTAAATTCCCCATTGTCTAAGAGAATCTCGGTAATACAAAGTAAGCATTATTCAATATTTATTAGCAAGTATTTGCTAGAATAAAAGAGTTGTTTYGTTTTGTGTCATTACTGCTACGAAATGGTGGTGTCCAACATCGGAATGAGGCTAATTTCTTACYGTGYGGTTCAAGATGGCGGCTGAAACCGTTCTGAAACTCTTTCCAAGTTTGCACTCGCTATAATGTCTGATAAAAGGAATTCCAGGTCTTTGAAAAAGGACAGAGACTCTGTTATTAGTTTTATACCATATATTTCTTCTGAAGCAAACTTTTATGCAGGTCCTAGACCSTTTAAGGTAGGTGAAGCGGCAAATCGTGTGTCAGTCCACAGAACCTCTTAGACCTTTGACATGTTTGCATTGCTTTGTACAGCTTCTAGATTCCTTTTTGACATCGAGTCTTTTATAAACAATTCTCTCTGTCTAATTTCATTAGACTTCTTGCACTTGTTTGCAGAAATTATGTAGTGACAAAAACGGAATTAGCGCTAAGTGGCTGTTTAAAATGTTTTAATTTTGTTCTTATTTCTCCACTTAACACAGCATAACAATCGCAAAAACGTTCCGCGATTTCCTCGTAGGCTTTTTGTTTTTTTAATTATATATTTAGATTCCATAACAGATTGTTTTACATGGCTGTTTTTTTCTTGGCGGGATGTCGAAACTGTGGTTGCAATTGTCATAAATCCCCATTATTATAAAATTGGAGATTGTAGCTGCAAATGGCTTTGTTTGCTATTAAGACCCTGTTATCCTTTGGCATATCTTGAACGATTAATCGAATGTRGAAATAATAATTTGTATTCTCGTGTCCCCTTTAGGACATCGTTCAAGGAATCCTTCCTATCAGCTATGAAGACGAAATCGTTCAAAAACGCACTCAAATCCTGCGAGATCCCCTACAAGAACTCTTGCTCTTTCCTCAGGACGACATCTCGGTAAGCCAAAAAATATTGTTTATATTTTTTGCTTTGTTATTGCACTACAATCTACACTGATATCTTTTGCACAACCCTCACGACGCCAAAACAGACTAGAAAAGCCGGCTGATAGTAACGTACTAGTATGATAATTTTTCTGGTCAAAGCGTGTCGAGAGCTGCCAGTCTGTGCTATGGCATGTGTGATTCTTTTGTGATAGACATTGGTAATGTATTTTGATGCTATTTAAATGCTTAATTTCGCCGTCCGGACAGCTGATTAAGGTTTTCGACTCAACAGGCAAATATGCTAATCAATGTTGAATCACAGCTGTTGACATGCGAAAATTGACACCAGCRGGGGAGGGGTAGTGGGTGTTATTGATCCGTTGTTTTTCTYCAATGATAGCGTTAGAGAAAAATAAATATTTATTTCGACTTTATTGATTTACAATTATTTTTACAAGAGACTTGCAAGTAAATACAAATAGGTAAAAGTTTTTTGATCAACACTTCTACTTATGTTGAAGTGTATTCCTAAATTATGTTAGTATTTTGGAAGTATTTTGATATTTTATGACATACTTTGTAAATTATTATCTATTTTACTAGATTTAGATTTTATCTCAAAAACCTTTTCACCGAAAAAATTCAATTCATTAATCATAATAAAAAAGCCTTTTCAAATTCTGCAAATTTATCAAGCATCAAATGTACTGAAGCTTGACAATATTTTCTACAACTTGATAGGAATAATTTKCTTACGCCTCCCCTGAGAGTTGTACAATATGCCGTAGGATGGAGACTGATGATTTCTTTTTAGCATACATATATTGAGCTTCCTCCAGTCACAAACTGAATTAAAATTTCATGTTATTGAGTGGGAAACATCGCAGAGCGTATGTATGTATGCTATTCAAAGCAAGCAAACGCTGTGAGTAGTCATCCAAATGTCAACTGAATTATTTGGTTCAGAGAAGAATTTTTATATCAGAGTAAGTAGCCAAAGGAATTCTAGTTTATTTAATACTCTTCTAGAAACACAGACCTTAATATATTCTGTTTCTTGCGGTGTCATTTTGTCATGTGTTTTGAGCTAAAGCTTAAGGTTTCAGATTGCTCACAGGTTGAAACTTCCTCTGATCTCTGCTGTCTATTCTTTCTTTTTTCACATTTGGGTTGATTAACCTTTAATTTCTTAACCAGGTTGTCTTGAATTCCTGTGTGTTTTTTGGTCAAAATATGTTGAATAAGAAAGACAATWTTTTTTTGTTTTTACTCATGAATGATTTCTGGGTTTTTAGACAAGAGATTCATTAGCATTCACACATTTTACTCAAAATTTATATTGAATATTGATTAGTGTCTCCTTTGAATCTATTTCTTACATGTCATGCTTTGTAAAGTATGTTTTATTGCATCTGTTTTGGCAGTAACTCTAGAATCTTTGATCAAGAATCTGTGATCATCGAGCAAAGTCAGTCAACCTGTCAAAATCTAAACACTGATGTTACAGTTGGAATTAYTTTACAATTCAAGGCATTTCCACCAAACCTTTATTGGATCTTAATCAAACATATTATTTCTTKCCAGTATATATTTCAATAGAATTTTAGAATTTGAGAGAAAAAAAACATGTTAATCCTTTTTTTCTAAAAAGAAGCTTACAATTGTGGTGCTTCTTCATGACATGAAAATATGTTATGATTTTGAATAATTATTTCAACTACGGTTAAAAACATAAATTTTATGTTATATTCTACAGTTTTCATACATTATAGATTAAATTCTGATCTAGATATGATTTCTTTGTCCTTTTTATACACTGTAAGCTCTGTTTTTAGCATTTCCATGTAGCTTTTACAGTGTGGTGCTTTTAAATTCAATCGATTTGAGTGGTTGTGGTCTGAGACTATTATCATTTTTGATTCACCTGCCAGCTTCTTAGTGAAAAGTAATCATCTTCCAACCCTAAAAAGCATGAAAAACAAAGAACTCTGGTATTTGCTGATCTAGTTTGCAGTTTACTTTAATAAACAGAAAAAGAATCAATTCAAACTACATCAATTGTAACAATGTGGAGAGAAAAACTGCAGCAATTATAATTTAAATATAAAATCATTCTTTGACTTGCTTTTCTCTAAAGATTAATCTTCCTTACAACTCCTTACATGTTTGTTCTATTCATTATTGTTTTTCAAATTCACAAACAATGTTTGGTCATGTGAATTAATGCAGTTCTAAATAAAAAGTTTAATTTTAAATTGGAAAAAATTGTTTAAAAGTGACTTTAATATTTTTGTGGATAGCAGTAATGACATTTTGGTTTAAAAAAAAGAGTTTGCACACCAGTAAACAACAATGTTGTGTTTGTTGATATTTCATGTCATGTTTGAKTGACCACTTCAAATTGTTGTTTTTTATTTACAAGTTTTGTAGATTAATTAAATTTAAAGTAGCCCCAATAATTTTAGCACTTTGTCATGACATTTTTTTGTTTTGTTCTTCCTGATAAAACTATTACTAATTGCAAATAGTCACTTTATTGGAAGCTAATTATTAGAGTTGAATTTGCACCATAAACATCAAGCTCTACGTAGATAGTGTCATGGTAGTTTTGTTGATGTTGGATTAGCTTCCTTTGTTGTTAGGGTTTATGAGGGATTTGAAGTCAAACTYTAGTACTCCAGACAATCCTTGACACTTCTGTAATACACTCTGTCAGTCACCTACACTTTTAATAACTTATTACACAGTTCTTGTGGTTAAAAAAATATATTTTTAATCCAGCTCAAAATATAATCTTGTGACAGTTTTAGGCAATATTTGATTAAGTCCTTAGTTGTTGTTGTACAGTGTACAGTATAGGAGTATATTTGCATGACATCATTCAATATTGACCAAGTAATACTCTTGTAGTGCTATAAACTTGAAGTATTGTTATTGTGATGATAAGAATCATAAGTATAACAGATTTATCACAGTGATATGATAATGATAACAATGTTAAGAACTGATGATATCCATGGTTGATAGCAATCATGCTTGTTGTCAACTGATAGATGATTTATTATAGATCAATGTATTTAACAAATAGATCTCATTTTTCCGTGCGTGTGTACTCTAATARATASACAGATGACGTCAAARTGTAGTGAGAACAAAARAGTTCGYRCGAGAYGCAGTCGAGTTTTGACGTAATCCGTGTATCTATACTTTGATAACACAYGAAAGCCAACCAATCAAAAYGTCTGATTTTACTGAAAAGTTGTATATTTACATATAACATCTATTATTGTATAGTAGAAGTCCTTGAGTAATACCTTAATGMTATAACCTCTGATGCTCATCAATGATGGCTCCTACATTAGTAACTTTGGCATGTGCCAGACTAATACACCAGTTGCACTATAGAAACCAAATTGAGCTGGAAATTGAAGTGGAAAATCCTTTTAATGTAACTAAACCAGCATGTTRCCATGCACAAGAATAGTGAACACAATAGAATGTTGACATAAAGGTGTTTCAAAGATTTCTGAAAGTGTCTGTCAAAGAAGAGTATCATTCATTGTTCAATGAAAACAATGTGTTGGGAACTTTTTTTATGTCATAATGTGTCTACAAAAAGAAAGGAATAGATAATGGTATACTGGGAAAAACAACTTAGGGTTTGAAGCACTGTAGGTAGACRAGATAGGTATCTACCTTAAAAGCTTGTTGTCATGTCGTCCATTTTGTTTGTGCTGGCATAATTAGTTACTTTGTATGATTTTTTATTGATGTTCTATAAACAAAAACATCACGACAAATAGTGCTGTGATGATTATTAGTATTTWTTTGTTYACTAACCAATCAAACTCCAGCTGACTCATGAATCACTCGATTCTTAGATGACAAATAGTTTTTCCTTATTTAATTCAAYATGCCTGACCCACCAAACATAAGACATTTACAGGGAAGGTTACAAGATCACATGATGTTCAATAAAATCTCTGACAATTRCATCATTCTGGGACCTTGGCTTTTAATATTATATACTTCATGTGTTTTAAAGATTATGGTGAGAAATGATGACCACAAATACCAAAATCAGCTGCTGATATATTAGATAACACTTTGAATCGTGATATTAAATAACAATTAATCTAAACTCTCCATTCCTTCTAGGCAGAAACTCTTACGTGTAGTTATAAAGATGAAATGTTTTATTCCTTTATTTATTAGTAATAATTATTGGATATGAGCAATATTATAACTCTTGATTGGCTAATTTACAGCTGGAATTTCATGTCATATCCAGTGATACAGGAATGTAGCTTAAGTACATGCACAGTTTTAGCTAAAATTCGTTTTTGTTTAAAATCAACTTATTAAGATTCATTTAAAGATGATGATGGCATGTACTTTGCTACACTGACATAGTCATATTAGGAGTAATAGTCTGTACGTCAAATTACCAAAAGCTCCAGTAAATCTTCCCAGAAATTACGGTTGTCATTTGGTGTATTCAAATCTAATTACTCGGTGAAGCTTTTTTTTCCATCTTGTGTAGCTTAGTAATGACATGTCTGTAGTATTCTATGTCAAGGCTCCCACAAAATGCCTCAGTTRTTGACATTGACAGGATAGTTAATAACCTCAAACCCTTTTGCATTTGAAGCACTTTTAACTAACCAACATGTCCGGTAACATCTGTTGTTGAGTTGGGGAATACAAATTTTTTTTTTCAAAAAATTTGATTTTTTGTTATCTCAAAATTAAATTAGAGAAATTGTCTTTCTCTCTCAGGAATTCAAAAAGAATTGTATCTGATTATTTTACAGTGATTATTTAGAGCTACTTACATGTAGATTGAAATGAAAATGTTTTTACTAGTATATCAAACAGCAGTCACTACAAAATGTTGTATTCTTTTTGCAGTAGAAAAGGTAAAACTGTGCACCTGTTTTAATTTGCACAAAGTCTAATTTATTCATATTAATGATATCATTGTTTGTTCTTTTATGACAAAAGTATTGAAAATCAAGTGTATGAACTACGATCAAATGATACTAAACAGATGATTGGCATATTGATTCAAAAATGCACATWAAAAGGCAAATTTATAGTCATATTTATTATAATTTTTGATATAGTTTTTTTTTCTTTTGAACAAATCAACAGCCCATTATGTTCAGAACAAAATTCAAAGGCTACTCAACAGATAACTAGCTTTAMAGTAAAAGTTCTTGATATAAAAACCATATTCTTAAATGATTAATTTTGGTTGTATTTCTTGTGGTTTTAATGAGCAGGAAACAGCATTACATCAAAACGACATGTGACATAATGACATTAACCCATTCACACCTAATGTTTTGTCTGTAGTACACTCTATGTGGCTTCTCTGTTGTTCATTTGCTATTCACATGTACATGTTTGTGAATCCCAAGTAGCCTTSAAACAAATCAAAATATTTATGGCACGGCCTATGACATGGCATGGTTGCGAATCTTTAAACATTCAAGCTTGTAACCCWAAGAGTTATAAAAGATTGCAGACATGGAATGGTCATGATGAAAGTAAASCCAAAAAGTTATGTAAATCTTTGTCATGGAATGGTYTAGAGCAGCAGCCTGCAATTTTACACAAATCACAATCWTGGTGYGGAAATATACARGGTTTTTTGAGATCTCGTAACACATCTCAGCTATGGTTAGGCCATGGTATACCATTTCCTAAAGTGAGTTTTGCTTTTTTATATATTTTCTTTTCAGTGAGAGATGTGTCTGTTCAGTTTTTGCTTTTTTATATTGATTATATCATATAAAAAATTATCTACCATAAACTTTTAATCAAGACATATACGGTACATGTACAACACAATTTACTATGAATATTACAATTCCATCACCAAGGAYGTTTAACAGCATTAGCTTACACCAAAAATGATATTTCATTTGCAGCACTTTTATTTTTATGAAAAAATCATTTTTGTTATGGTAAAAATCTTTATTATCATCAAAAAATTTATCGTTCTCTTAACCTTTTGTGATAAACAATTTACAAATGAACTATTCACAAAGATAAGGTGAATTCCATTCATTTATGATATTCAGTTTATCTTAAACCACTGAATACCAGCAAAATTCCAGTCCAGTGAGATGAGGTTTTTTTACATGTCACTAGTGTAATTCCTTTCACAGTATAATTGAATGGGTTTTTTCAACTTTTCAGTTTGAATAGCTGAAAGTATATTCTTGTTTATTGATGTATGTGATTTTGTAGTTTAACTTTATAACCATCCAATGTATGTACATGTACATCAATGTACTTTCTGCTTTACTGAAAATTTTTATTGTAYTTGATAAATGCAAAGCCTTTCGTCTCACCATAATTAATTTTAATCTTTTTGAGACAATGGCTTTAACATGTTCACTAAAGTTTACTGCTATTTGATTAGCCATTAAATAACACTGTATTTTGTCTGGAATTCTGCTCTTTTTCATATCTAGTTGTCTTATTCTTTACTTGATTATTCTTCATTTGAATTGATTTGAATTCATTTCAATTGAATGATTCCATTAATAACCATTTTTCCTTTGAAGGATTAAAGGCAGGTTAATATGTACAGGTGTAAATCTTTTCTGTTTGACTTCTTCACGTGGCATAATTATTGACTTTTTGTCTATTTTGAGACTAATGTTTACTTGGTTTGAACAAGACAGTGCTGAAATTATGTTTCAATCTTGGGTTTTGCTTTGTTATCTTCAGAAAGCTTAAAGCAACATTGTTTTCATCACTGTCTTACCTCAAACCTACTGTCATGTATTCACCCTAGGGTGAATTACAATATTGATGACACTCCTGTAATATTACAAGAGTAATATTTTCATCAATAGAAACTACATTGTTGTTAAGGTTCACATTAAAACTATTTTTTCTTAGCTGTTTTGTTTGTTTGTTTGTTTGTTTTTCATTATGTGTAAGAGTTTAAACTCAAATTACTAATCTTTACGCAACAAAACACCAGGACTTTTAGGAAAACTAGTTTTTTTTTAGTTTTTAGTTTTTTTTAGGAAAAATATTGTTTACTTTTTACTTAAAATACCCACAACACACCAATAACTATGAGGTACATGATTGTATAAGAACTTTACAGAGTCTTTGCAAAATGCTGTACTGCAGTTATACATGTATAAAAACTATACCATTTAGTACCCTGTTCTCTTTAATGGCTTAGTTATTCTGCTTCTTTTTGAAATTGGCTGAAGCAAAAAAAAACTAGTTTTCCTAAAAAAAAGCTAAAAAAACTAGTTTTGCTGATATTCAGATACCAATTGTAATTTAGATATTATTTTAAATATTGATGAAAAGATATTTTTTTTAACAAATATTTTCTCTTTAATTGAATGGATATGATAGGCTTAAAGTTAATCACAAATCTGTCTTATAAATTATGCTGACATAAGGATTATTTTAGAACTAGTCTTATGACAATAATTGTAATCCAATAGCTGTRCATTGGCATGGTTACAGCTGTTGATTGACATCATCAATGATCTCATACTGAGGTTATAATCACATGGCATGATAAATATGATCTGATAGGGATTTTATTTCAAGGTTCTCTTTGCTATTTGCATATCCATATCATTGTCCCCGCATCTATTAAAGTGTGAGTCCAGGGGTCATTTATTATATCACATGTTATTAGTGGTGAGACATACTTGTGGTTTAGACATAATAATTATGTAGGTAGTTTGTGATATGCCAAAGAGTAACATTCACATTCAGGTATTTTCATGCAGACATTATATATCTGTCTTTTTTCCAGATTGAATAATAAAATAATTTGTGAGAAGGAGTTGAAATACATTTTGTAACCAATAGAGCATTTAAATAGTACACACAATTATTATTATTATTATCATTATTATTATTATAAATAATTTAATTATATTAACTTTGATTGTTTACAGGCTTATACAATACCAAGAGAACAAAGAACAGAAACGCCGACTGTTCCAAGAGAGGCTCATTCAAGACAAAATAGCTTGTTTACTAGAGAGGTACTACTGCATGACCTTTGTCAAGCAATTTATATTCATTTATATACATTAAATTGATTTATGTTGTGTATTGTAGTGCATCCATTCTTACACATCAAGTTGGAATTGTATAGAGAACAAATATGCTCAATATTCTGGTAGCTACCTCAAATTACCAAGGTATATTAATACTTATTATTACATTTACTTTACGGTGTAGATATTATTGATATATTATTGTTATTATTAATACCATGAAGTAAATGCAGCTTTACTTTATGTCTTACTCTTTAGACCTGCTCAAGCAGAAGGTCTTCAAGAACAAATATATGAAGTTGACTTAGTAGACCAGGAGGAGAGTGGTGATAGTGTAAGTATTGGCAGGCTATGGTCGGTACTGATACATGTACACTCTTGGTTCAGGATGTTTGTGTTGTTACTCATTATCTTTTCCTTTGTTTTTTATTCGGACTTATGAGTGAATCTCTTGATGATGATGATGCCGATGATGATAATGATGGTGATGATGATAATGATGCCGATGATGATGATGATGATAATGATGCCGATAATGATAATTATGATGATGATGGTGATGATGATGATGATAGTGGTGAATCATTATGATAAATGATGTTGATGTTAGTTCTAGTGAAAATATCAACCAATTTTTTTATCCCTCTATCAGAGCTATGCCATTAGTCCTCTGCGGGAGAAAGGTATCACTAAACAAGGTTACCTCACGAAAGCACCATTCCATGGTGAAAATGATAATGGTCATGATCATCATTCGGCAACAAAGGTATTAGAAATATTACATATTAAAATAGAATTCTAGAAACTGAAACTGCTCTACCAAGATAACATGGTGTATGGGTTTACGGGCCACACAGGCCTGGGTTAGGAAAGTAGCCTGTTTGTTTGTCAGTTTGATTGACAGGTCTTATTATACTGGTTAATATGATTTCAGATATATAAACGGCGATGGTTTAACTTGAAGCAAATATCCAGTGATGGCTCATACGTATTAGAATATCGAAAGGTCAGTAGACATTATGTAACAATCATGTACAGTATTGATGGATTTATAGCATTTGTTACTTTACAATATAGAATACAAGTTTTTCTTGTGTCAAATTTCATTGTTCCTTTCTAGCAATAATCATTATTAATCTTATGATACTGATTATTATTATTCCATTTATAATATTATTTATTTTTGCTCCATTTGTTAATAGGATGATCATGCAACTACGGCACGAGGAGTTATATACCTTGATTCTTGTACTCACATCTCGAAGGTTAGTCATATTACTAACCAAAACTCATCATCCCTTCTACCCTTATAAACATTCAGTGTATCACTGTATCACTAATTAAACTTATAAAACAAAGCTATATTACTATTATTTGTGTAGGGTGTTAAAGGCAAGATGTATGGCTTTGAACTTCACATTCATGACAAAACGTACAGTCTTGTGGCCGACAGTCAAAATGATATGGACCAATGGATGGCATGTTTATGTCGGGTAACAGGAATCGACATTGATACTTGTGGCAAATCCACCGGGATATCATTCTCAGTTAAAGCAAGACTTCCCACAAAACAAAGTCAATCTCTACGAGAAAGTCTCAAGAACAGCAAACATCCATTACTTTTAGAATATTCCAAGGAAACTGATGTACAAAATGCTAAAAGACGCCGAGAAAAYAGATATAAATTGTTTTCTTTAGTCCGTGATTTAGACAGCAACCCGTGCGCCAGTGTTGATGATGCGAGGGTTGATGCTACTGTGTACAAAGAGAACTTTGGGACTCGATTTGTTGTCTCTTGTAAAGATTTGAAATTCCGTTTAGTTAATACAAATTCAAATGGTGAAGAGACGAATATTGAGCCATTTTTCTTGAGGCTCGCGTTATTTGATGTTAAAAARGGSATGAAACTTTCTGAAGACTTCCATTGTGACTTAAATGATCCAAGAGTAGCAGATATGCTCAGAGGAAGTGACTTTATAGAATATGGTGAAACCAATGGAGATGCTAGCTCTGAAGAGAAACGAAGGAGGACTAACAAACGGGAAATGGAGGACTGTCATCCTACTAATGTATGTACTTGTTGTTGTTTTTTTTTCATATTTTCCAATTTCCCACTTTCTATTTATTAAATGTCAAGTGCGCAACTGTTATTATAATTATTTGCATAAATCAAACATTCTCATTCCAATGCTTCCACTATTCTCAAATGGCTATCTATAGTGGAAAAAAGTCTGCTTTATAATGTTCAGTTAAACCCACAAGTCACTTAAATAAATACGTTTTTCAGGCAATATTCTCAGTCACGTGTCCTCACCCAGAAGTCTATGTAGTCGTACGAATAGATAAAGTGTTACAAGGTAGTATAGGATCCTGTGTTGAGCCGTACATCAAGTCAGGCGACATCAAGAAGACAACAGGGAAAGTTCAGAAGCTAGCTGAAATCTGTTGTAGAAGACTAGGTCGTTAC